TTTCTCGATGCTTCTATTTTGCGGACAATCGGTGACACAACGTATGGCCTGCGTTAGCAGGAATAGAGAGGGATTAATCCCACTGCTACAGTGCTACTTGCTGCAGGAGCCTCGAGGAGATGCATGTAGATGGAGGTGATGTAGAAGTTGGAGGCGGTGCACCAAGAAGATGGATGCGATGATAGAATGGTGGGATTATTAGGGTTTAATAATGTTAAGTTAGGGGCATTTTAGTCTATATAAAATATTTATTTATTTATTTATTAAAAGTATTTTTTATTGTTACGTGATAGGTATTATTTGGGGAAAGAAACTTGTATGGTCATATATTGAGAAAGGGTAGTAGTTTTAGTCACACGCATGATAAATTTCTCTTTCATTAAACCATTCATTAAAATTTGATCTTTGCAACAGAGCCTTTTATAATGAAAAAAAAACGTTTTGGCTAATTACTCCGTATAACTTTTGTTTGGATCACTTTGCATTAATTTTCTAACGTATATATAATCTTTTATATATATATATATATATATTAGGTTGCACTCTTAGTGAGTAATAATAGAGTGTCGTGTGTTATCTCCCTCTAAACAATTGCTGGATTACAACATATAATCTTCTTATCCTCGTAGATTCGGTGTCCGGCAAATTTGTCGAAGGGCTCGTTATTTCTTGGGGAAAGACTTCCGGCCATCGGAAATACTTTCTTTAGGACAGCGTCTAACGCGTCTCGAGCCATTTTATTTTTCTAACATTGTTTTGCAGGTTCCGTCGTCAATTACCTCCAACAATCTAAAGAAAGTATCACTATGGCATCGGATACACCTACTCAAATCATCTCGGTTCCGGACACCTCCAACGGAAAAGGAGCTACAAATTCTGCCGCCAATGCCGACTCGCATGTTAACATGCAATTTGAGGTGCAACCTGTCCATGCAAAGCCTTTTCCCGATATTTCTAAAATTGAAGTATTTTCAGGAGCCAATTTCAAGAGATGGCAAGAACGCCTATTTTCAACGCTCGACATGCATGGCGTTGCCGACGTTCTTACCCAATCCATGCCGGCCAAAGACAACTCTCCCGAAGGCATCAAGCTCCTTCAACAGTGGACCCACGCAAACAAGGTTTGCCGTCACACAATTCTTAGCACTTTATCTAACGAATTGTTTGATGTTTATTGCACAAAAAAAGAGGCGAAGGAAATTTGGAGTTCCATGATAGCCAAGTACACGGCTGAGGACATCGTCAAGCAGAAATTTGTAATAGGAAACTATTACAAGTGGGAGATGAAGGAGGACAGAGACATCAAGGCGCAAATTCACGAGTACCAGACGTTGTTGGAGGACCTTAAGAGCGTCCAGATAGAACTGGTTTAACAATCCCATATTTGGATCTGGTTTGTATAGGATGAGTGTTAGTTACTTGAATGGGAGTTGTAGAAGATGAAGAAGAAACAGGTTGTTGAGAAGAAGAGTTTGAAAGGTGGAGTTGAGAGTTGTCAGGAGGTGATTGATTTGGAGATAAACTAGGTGTAGAAGACAAAGAATTATGATGAGAATTGGAAGCATTGGGAGAGGAGTTAGGTTGTGAATGATTGGATGAATCAGAAGATGAGTTTTGTTGAGAATGGTAGTGAGCAGATGAGGAATTGGGCTGAGAGACATTATTGTTGTTGTTATCAGGAGAGGGAGCAGGGCCAGAGTTTGGAAGATTTGGACTGACTCTATTGTTGGGTTGGGTAGGAAAGGAAAGGGTTATGGGGTGATTTGATGGAACTTGGACAGTAGAAGAAGTGGTTGATTTGGTGGGAAAAAGGGTTGTATAAGGGAATGTGGTCTCATTGAAGACAACATCCCTGGATATATAGATTTTACCACAGGGAGATAGACACTTATAACCCTTATGATGGGAGGAGTATCCTAGAAATACACACTCCTTGGAGTGGTAATCAAATTTATGATTGTTATAAGGTCTTATGAAAGGATAGCAGGAGCATCCAAAGACTTTCAGGAATGAGTAATCTGGAAGGATCTTATACAGTTTGAAATAGGGGCTTAAATTGTCAATGGATTTTGAAGGAAGTCTATTTATGAGGTGTACAGCTGTGGCAAAGGCAGTGTCCCAGAATTTTAGAGGTAAGGATGAGTGTGCTAACAAACATAGACCTTTTTCAACTATAGTGCGATGTTTCCTCTCAACAACACCATTTTGATGGTGTGTGTGAGGACAGATAACTCTATGAGTGATACCTTTTTGGGTGAGAAATTGTGTAAATGATCTGAATTCACCTCCCCAGTCAGACTGGAGAGATTTAATTGAAACATTGAACTGATTTAACACATATTGGTAGAAGTTTTGAAAGGCAGAGAATGCATCAGATTTCTTTTTGAGAAAGTAGATCCATGTGAATCTAGTAAAGGCATCAATAAAAGATACATAGTAAGAGTATCCATCAAAAGACTGTACAGGAGCTGGGCCCCACAGATCAGTGAAAATTAATTCAAAGGGAGAGTGATAGACAGTATTAGATGGATAGGAGGGAAGCCTGTGAGCTTTCCCTAGACAGCATGCAGAACAAAAATCAACAACAGTTTTATTTATTGGGAAAACATTACACAGATGCATTACAGATTTGAGAACCTCTAAGTGAGGATGTCCAAGTCTTAAATGCCAGATATTACAAGAATCATGTGATTGAGTTTTATTACAAGTAGAAATCAGAGAACTAGGAGAAACAGAATTATCAATGGACTTGTGAGACCCAATAGCTGAAAAAGATTGAAATTTGTATAGGCCATCTGCACCAAGGATGCCATAGAGAAGAATCTGTTTAGAAACCTGAGATTTAACAAAGCACTCATGAGGATGAAATTCAAAAAATGCATTGTTATCTTTGGCAAATTTACTAACACTTATAAGGTTTTTGGTTATTTCAGGGACATGCAAGATATTTTTAAGAGACAGGGAGAGAGAAGATTGATAAGGAGAAGGGAAGGATGAAAAACCAACAGACTTAATCTCCAGACCTTGGCCATTACCCATAAAAAGCTTGTCAGTAGTGGCAATTGGCTCACTATGCTGAAGGTTAAGTGGATCTGAAGTTACATGATGTGTAGCTCCTGAGTCTGGGAACCAGTTCTGAGAGTTAGGTGCTGGCCCAAGCACAGAGGAATTTGCACAAGCCCATGCTGCAGTTGGAGCATTACTCAGACTGGAATTGGGAGTGAGATTTGGGGTAGATGAGGATGATGGTACCCAGTTGAAGTTTGATGGAGTTGAAGGATTGCTTGAGTATCTTGATGTAGCAGGATTATTGAAGGGATTTGAGTGGTTCTGAGGTGTGTATTGGTGAGGTATGGGCATATAGTTAAGTTGAGGATGATGATATTGGTTTGAATATGGATTGTACTGATGTTGATTAGGAATCGAAGGGTACCATTGGGTGAAAGAAATAGGATTTGAAGGAATAGGATTTGATGTTCAATAAGGGTTTGCAGGTGTAGGGTTTTGTGCAGTGTAGGCTGGATTGAATCTATGATAGCATATTAGTGCGTGATGACCATTTTTGCCACAGACCTGACAGGTGATTGGATTCCGGCCACCAGAACGACCACCTCCTCTATCTCTGGTGAAGTTTCCTCGACCTCTTCCTCTGTAAGAGGATGAACCTCCTGAGTCATCAAACTGAGATACTTGAACAGAAGCATTTTTTGAAGAATTATGAGTTTCATTACCACTATTTTGACTAGATTCCTCAAGTCTAGCAACATTAGCAGAAAACAATGCTTGTTGAGATGAGTCACGCAGTTTCTTTAAACGCAATTCTTTTGCCAGCAAAAGAGCTTCAAGATCTGATACAGAAATTGGATCCAAGATGCTTCTAGAAGATACAGAAGAAACAAGGGACTCGTACTCTTCTGGAAGTCCTTCAAGGATAACGTCGATGTGATCTTTGGTAGTAACAGACTCACCGACACGAATTAGGTTATCAATTATGGTTTGGATTCGAAGAAGATAATCGGAAATAGATCGATCACCTTTTCCGGTGTTGTAGAGCTCGGATTTCAATTGGCGAGTTCTGGCAATAACATTTGATCGAAAGAAATCCTGAATTTCATTCCATAATTGGTGCGACTGCTTACAGTGTATAACACGAGCATGAAGGGAGTCAGAAAGTGACGCTAGGAGCCAGGAGAAGAGCATCTGATCTTGCTGTTCCCAGACATTGTAAGCTTCGTTGACGATTCTCTCTCCATTATCACCAACAGCAAATCGATCTGGAATTTGAGGTTTCTCAATGAATTTGAGAAGTTTATGTGCCTTGATTACAGATTGAACATGATGCCTCCAAAGTAGAAAATTATTCGACTCAAGCTTGATTGGTAGAGGATGATTGAAGATAACTAGAAAAGATTGTGATGAGGAAGATTGCGAGGATGAAGAATGCGATGATGATTCTGTAGAGTTGGTCATGTTTGCGAGGATGATGATCGCGAGGATGAATATTGGAACGAGCAGAGCTCTGATACCATAATAGAAACTAAGCAGATAGAATTAGAAAGTGAATCATCATAGATGAGAAAGAGTCATTACAGAGTATTTATACAATATAGAAGTCAAGCAACTAACTACCGGATCTAACAGAATCCCTTAACAAACAGTACATGAGTATTTATTACAGCTAACACGAATATTTATTTTATTTATTTACAGAATATTCATTGATACAAATATGTTGCATCATCTTCTAGACAAAACAATTGTCCTGTGAGCATTACTTTCTTAATAACCTACTTATGGGTTAGTCTATGTGGATAGGCTCTAGAAATCATGTGGTGACCAAGTTTTCTGAACAACACTCTATAATATGAAAACTAGTGTATTGCCACCCTTGTGATGCATGGGGATATTTCCATTGTAAATGGTAATGCGTTTTTACATTTGACAATAGTGAATAGTTTAATTTATACAAAGTAATAACAAACTATGCCTTGCTATGTGATAAAAGAATTACATAGTATTATTTTTGTTAAATATTAAAATGTACTGCGTAGTAATAGTACATATATAGAAAATGTAAGCCTTACACAGAGAGTTTTGCACAAAAAGAAGGGCAAAAGTAAGATACATCACTATTAAAAAGTTCATATAATTAAAAGCCTAATTACAGGATTTGAAGTACTTCATTGTAGACGGCATTCATGGTCTGATCAGCGAATTCCCTTCCCGGTTGGAAGAATACTCATTGATATATACAAATCCATAGTGTCATCTTCTAGAGAAAACAGTTCTCCTATGAGCATAACTTTCTTAATTACCTAGAAAACCTGCTGTGAGCATTTTTCGGAACAACTTTTCAATGATACGACAATTACAAAACATTACTTTGTATACTTTATTGAACTCAACACAGTCAAATATCATTTTAGGCTAAGGGATTTCATTTTACTGACAGAAACTAATTTCATCTTCCTAGCATACTTGGATAACGCAAGAAAGTTTTATAAGCTGAACACTTTGAATTTACCTAATTACATATAAAACCTGATCCAAAGTCATTCATGGGGAGTAATTCCAATCAAAATAAAGAATTATTTCAAGAGATTGACTTATCATTTGTCAAGGTAAAAAACTATGCATGTTAATAATAAATCAAGCTGAAGTTATATTTACCAATAACTTGAGCTTCAAAGACCTTATATGGTCAGCTCTTGATTCTTTATTTCCGGGAAGATCAACGATCGTGATTTCATTTATACCGCCGTGACTGCAGACGAAATTTCTCTTTATAGGGTGTCGTTTCTTATGAAAAACGTTGGAGGAAAATCGTGCAGAATGGTGTGGGATGGTGGGGAAAGGAGCTAAGATACGACTATCTGAAAGAGAAAGGGAAGAGTGAAGCGCAGAGGCCATTGATGAGTATTGAGCTTTCGGATTATATGCGTATAAGGTGTGGGAATGGAGTTTGTTGGATTTTTGCGGGCTTCAAGGATGTGTTTGGAAATTTTGTGGAGAAGTTTTGTAGATCGACCTACAATGTTTGGATTGAGGGTTAATGATTATTAGTAATGGAAGTGTTGGTACTAATACTTGTTTGCGATAAAAATTAAGAGGTGCTAAGAAGTACTCCGTATTAGTAACGGTTAGGAAGTGTAAACAATAACCATCACTAGGGGTGGACTCGGGCCGGTTCGGGCCCGGTTCGGACCTGGGCCCGGCTGGGCCTCGGTTCATGAAAGGGGAGGCCCGGAATCGGCCCGGGTAACCCCCGGGTCCGGGTCGGGCCGGGCCTCGGTTCAATTTATATTTTTTTTGGCTTTTCCTAATTAACCCTCCCCCTCACCCCCAAACCACCTCAAATGGCCCAAAATACCCAGTCCATCCCAAAAACTTAAAAAAAAATCAAAAAATAAATAAATAAATAAATAAATTGGCCCGAACCGGCCGGGCCAGTTCACCTTTAGAGGGGCCCGAGCCCGGCCCGGAACCCCAGCGGGTCGGGCTTACCCAGACCGGTCCCTGGCCGGGCCGGCGGTTCGGGCCGGTTCAAACTGTAACCGGTTCGGGCCGGTTCCGGGGCGTGCCGCCCGGCCCGAGTCCACCCCTAACCATCCCAACACCTCAATTGTTCACTCTTTTAACACTCCGATTTGGAGTGTTTTGAGGTGTTGGACAATTATTACCTTCTCATTTAACCTAAAAACATAAAATGCTTCAGCATCTCACTTCGAACATCTTTGCCGAGGGTCTAATGGTCTTCCTTTTTCGTCTCTTCTCCTTACTCGTTTGTTATACTCTAAGGTAAATTTATTAACACTTCATTCGTTTGACTCTCCCAAACAAGGTAAAATTATGTCTAACACTTACACTTCCATTCCCTTCCGGACCCTTACTAACACTTACCAACACTTCCATTACTAATATTTCCAAACACTCCATCCAAACAGGCCCTTAAGTGCAAAGTGTTTTATTACGGAGTATTATTTACGAGTAAAGAGTCACATTAGTCCTTGAAGTTGCATAAAATTGGTCAAATAAGTCCTTATATAGGAGACTCTGTCCGGCCGTCATCATTTTGATGAAATTTTTTGAGCATCTTATTTATTAACTCTAGGTTACTCATACCAATTTTCAGCTAAAACTTCAATCGAGAAGACATTCAAATGAAGTCTTGAAGATAACTGGGCATTTGAAAGCGCAGTTATCTTTAAATAAAAGGCATATATTTACTAATGTAGCACCGGGGCACGCAATTTATATTCTACACCCGGGAAAAAACGCATTTTTTTATATATATTCTACACCCGGTCATAAAGGAGGTCAAGTACCCATCCTCGTTGGAGAACATGGTCCTCGCGCAAAAAGCCCCTACCTTTAGAATGTGTGTGAATTACACGGACTTGAACAAGGCTTGTCCTATGGGCTCATTCCACCTTTTTCCTTTATTTATTTACTACCAACACAATAGTTTTCAACAAACTCCGTATTTGTTTTTAAAAGAAACTTAAGGATTACAAAAATACTTGCGACCAAAATTCTAAATTTTATTTTGTTAAATCACCCGTGTTGACAAGCACCACAAACACTGTCAATCAATTTTGTTACAAACTTACAATCTTGAATAAAATCGTTTGTGCACGACTCCCTTAAAACAATCCAGACAAACACACACAAAATTACCACTGAGTTTATTGCGGTAGTTAACACTTAACAGGCTTTTGTCAAAAAAAAATGTTGGGTGTACATGTTTTTTGTGTGACCCCTTAGAATTATCTATGTATAATTGACTTTGCGTAAAATATATAAGTACTAAAATACTATAGGTACTCAAATTTGTACATACCCTCTAGTTGCTTGTATACACAGAGTATTCAACTACGTATGTACACAAAAAAATGTTACAAGAATTAATATGTACACAAATTAAATAATACTACCTCTGTCCCACTAAGATTGAGACATGAAAAAGTGGCACGATTATTAACAAAAGTGAGTTTGTGTGGTTGATATTAAATTGATAAAGTAAGAATAAAGTAGGAATGATTTAGAGTCACACAAACTTTATCAAATTTGGTATGTGACAATCTTAGTGGGACTTCCCGAAAAGATAAAATGAGACAATCTTAGCGGGACTGAGGGAGTAATAGCTAACATGCAACAAAGTACATAAAAATGTGTATAAGAAGCGCCTCTCAAAAGACAAAAAACACTCAACTGGCTTTCACCATTCGCCAGCAAGATTTACCCTCTGCGGTCCGGTGATGAGATTGAAAAAAACTAGTCGTTAGATGTGGTAACGTCTACTAAATTTGAAACTTCTAAAAGTTGCTAAAACAGTTCCTTTTCCCATTTCCACCTCCCTCGCTCAATCAATCAAGAAAAAGATTCAAGTTCTCTAAATTCCTACATTTTTCGAACTCCAATTTTAGGGCTTCTGATAGAAACTTCTTATGCAAACACCTTGAATCCCGCATAGCCATTTTCTCTGCTGTCACATTCCCATATCCTACATTGCAAGCTGCCTTGAGATAATACACACAGCTCGTAGCTCCTCTGTTCAGTTGAATTTCGAAGAAGTATTTGCAAAAAGTTGCAGTTTTAGGAGCCAATGGCACCTACTCCGTCCAAATCGAATCAGGCTCATTTCGGAAATTCGAAAACACCTCAATCCAAACACCGACTCAACTTGTGTAGGCCATCACCGAACCCCAACGCGGCAGCTGCGAAAGAAGCTCTTCCAGCCGAGCATCCGGTGGAAGTCGTTGGGCGGATCCGCGACTATCCAGATCGCAAAGATAAGCCTCAACCGGCCGTGAAGCTGAATGGAGACAGTCAGTCATTGAGGGTTAAAACTGAAATAGGGTACAGAGACTTTCAACTTGATGGAGTTTCGTTGTCAGAAGAAGAAGATCTCGATGTTTTTTACAAGAAATTCGTTCAGGCAAGGATAAACGGGGTGAAATTGGGGTCTAACTGTACTATTATGATGTATGGCCCTACAGGTTCCGGTAAGAGTCACACCATGTTTGGTAGCTCCAAGCAGCCTGGAATTGTGTACCGATCATTGAAGGATATATTGGGAGAAGGGGATGAAGAGAGTGCAGAGAATCGTGTGATTGAGAGAGCAGGGACTTTCGTTCAGGTCACTGTCTTGGAAATATATAATGAGGAGATTTATGATCTCTTGGCCACTAATAATGGTGGAGGATTTGGCTTTGGATGGCCTAAAGGCAATGCTTCCAAGGTATGAACGCCTGAACGGATAATTCTTGTATTTTATGGTATTTCATTTTTTTCTTAATTATACTCCTACTAGATATTGGCCTGGTTATCTTCTAATAGGTAGTGCTTCGAAGTATTACAAGTGAATTTGAAATGAACTTGTACTGTATGGTCTAGCTTGTGTGAGAAATTGAAATGAGCTGGTACTGTTAAATCTAGATTGTGTGAGAAATTTGAAATGAACTGATACTGTAAAATCTGTGTATATAGTAAACTGATGCAATAATCAGATAATAATGATACCATTTTTACTTTTTTCTGAGCTTTTTTTGCATGGTCCAAGCCTATTTTGTAAGGTAAATACTGCTAATTCTACCAGGGAATAATAATGGTTGGCTGACTTTTATTAAACTTTTAACTAGAGGTGCAGATTATTGCATATGAGTCATGCGCTGTTGTAATTGTTCTCTGAAACATAAAATGATCATTTGCTTTACTTTGTGCTAGAATTAGGATTGGAAAATTATGGTACATTGTTCTTAGGACAAGAATGTCTGCAGTAAAAAACCCATCTGCTTTATAAATGACATTGTTCTTAGGACAAGAATGTCTGCAGTAAAAAATCCCATCTGCTTTATAAATGACATTCCAACTTAAAAGCACAAGGTATTAATGAGAGAGAGAAATATGTGCTTCTGTCAGTCTGATCTTGGTAAATGCTATGTTTAGCACAATTACAATTCTTTTGCTCTACGTTTACTTGGATTTGTTTAAATATAGTGTGGGTTGTCTATATATATGCATTAGCAGGTAAGGTTGGAAATCATGGGGAAAAAGGCTAAAAATGCAACTTTTATTTCCGGAAATCGAGCAGGGAAGATATCAAAAGAGATCCAGAATGTAGAAAAGAGAAGGATTGTTAAGAGCACTCTATGTAATGAGAGAAGTTCACGAAGCCATTGCATGGTAATGTCTATAATTACTTAGTACACAAGTCTTTCAGGTTCTCATTTTCTTTCTTTGTTCCCCCTTTTCAGATAATTCTTGATGTTCCAATAGTTGGAGGACGGCTTATGCTAGTTGACATGGCAGGTTCTGAAAATATAGAACAAGCTGGTCAAACTGGTTTTGAAGCCAAAATGCAGGTAGATGTGCTATAACGTCGAGATTATGACGTATCAAAAGAGTACTCCAATATGGCAATTCAAAGAAAATGCTCTTTTTTCGCCACAATGGTTTTCGCTTTCTCTTCTTGCTAGTACTCATAGATGCGCCTGCCGTTACTCCTTCAGCACTAACTAACTGGTCTACAACTTCATTACCTGACAAAACATTAGGTGGAGTCCTCAGCTCTTCCTTGCCATCAAAGTTTGTTCGATCATATCTCCATTTGTGGCGACTCGGTAAAAATCTGCGATGGCCCATGTAACAGTGTTTAGATCCTTTTCTCAATCTGTAAGAACAAGTATTGTTGTTACATGAAGGACAAGCAAAAGCTCCAGCAGTTCTCCATCCAGAAAGATCACCATATGCCGGAAAGTCACTTATTGTCCATAGCAAAGAAGCAAACATTCTAAAATTCTTTTTCTTTGAGGCATCATAAGTTTCCACCCCAACTTCCCAAAGAAACTTCAATTCCTCTATTAAAGGTTGCAAATATACATCCACTTTATCCTTTGGCCCCTTAGGACCGGGAACAAGTGTGGAGAGAATTAAAGAATGTTGTTTCATGCAAAGCCATGGAGGTAAGTTATAAGGGATAAGAATCACTGGCCATGTACTGTGTGTTACATGTCCGTTTCTAAAGGGGCTAAATCCATCACCTGCTAAACCAAGGCGAACATTTCTAGGATCAGAGGAAAATGAAGGATATAGCTCATCAAACGTTTTCCACGCTTTAGAATCTGCCGGATGTCTCATTGCCCCATCATCCTCACGTTCATCGTGATGCCATCTCATACTTGAAGCTGTTTTAGATGACATGTAAATTCTTTGTAGTCTGGGAATCAATGGAAAATAACGCATCGTTTTGCATGGGATCTTTCTAACCATAGAATTTAAGGTACCAGATGCATCGCTTTGTTCCTTTTTTTTCCATCTACAAGAATTACAGTGAACACATTCATCCGCATTCGCATGCTCCTTCCAAAATAACATACAATCATTTGGGCATGCATCAATTCTTTTGGGCTCGAGAGATAAAGTCTTTATAATTTTTTGAGCATCATAATATGAGTCAGGCAATGTGTTACCCTCAGGCAATGCATCTTTAAGTAGTTCAAGAAGCATAGCCATGCTTTTGTCACTTATTCCACCTAAACACTTGATGTGGAATAGCTTAAGCAAGAAGGACAACTTTGAGAATTTCTTGCAACCAAGATATAGCTCTAACTCAAGATCACCCATCAATTTGTAGAAGCTATTTACTAATTCTATTGGATCACTAGACTCGCCAATATTTGCTTCACCATCATTTGTATCCTTCTCCCTTGACCTCCCAAATGCATCATGTAGCATTTCAAACATAGATGCATGCTCTATGTACTCATTTGATGCATCTATGTTATTCTCATGAGTTGTCCACTCCTCACTGTTTTCCCCATGCCGCAACCAGCGAGTATAGCTCTTAACAATTCCATGTTTAATCAAATCCAACTCTATTTCTACTCTACCTTTCTTCCTTTCATTATTGCACTTCATACATGGACAAGGAACCACATCGTCCACATCATTTTGTGAAAAAGCAAACTCTAGAAACTGTTTTACGCCAATCCTGTACCTGGGGTCAGCTTTTTTGAATTGCATCCACTCACGATTCTTGTAAACCATTGTATTCTAAGCATGATCATATAAAACAGTTAACTAACACACAAAACTCGAAAACAATATTTCATGCAACAACAAAAGTCTGACTAGGTTAAACTTCCATAGTTTGGCTGCAAATGAAACAATACATTAACTCTCTACTGAGATGCTACCAATCTGCCCAAAACTGGATAATTTGGAACTCGCTGAGGTACATAAACTACGAAATCAGGTACGTCCTTGTACTCACTTTGAAATATATAATTTTCAAGCCTATGTGTTTTAATCTAAAATGATTTTAAAAAAGAAAAAAAATCTAAAATGATTTTTTGTTATGTTATTTGCTATTTACGTTTAGTACAGTTTGAAAGAACCCAAATCTGGCTGGTTATCTGCGTGAAATCCATATTTGAGCTAAAGTTTGATAATAGCTTCTTCTTATGTCTCTTACTAATTCTTTTTGTTTGTTATGTATTGGGAGAAAGGGCAAAAACACCACTAAATTTTATATAACCTGAAACACACGGTAAACCCCCCTTTTAACTAACTGAAACAATTTAACTGAACAAGGAAGTGTTAAAGGGGCTCATTTGACTATTTTAGACCATATATACAACAAAAATGTTTGTATGTTTGACATTTATTTTTAATTTCAGCTTGTTATCTATTATAGATATATATCTAAGAGATCTTGGTCTTAAAACTAGCACATATTTCACCCAATGCAAAAACATATGTAATATAATATGTACATATTCATAGTACAATAAAATATTCTATAAAGCTTAACACCATCCGATTTCACTATATTCATCACATGTGTTTGCCCCAAACACAAATAACACCTTTATCAAAAAGAGTACTATAGCTATGTGTTCCTAAATATCTCAGTAAGTGGTGATGGATAAAAAGAGTAGCAACAATATGGTTAGTTTGCCTATATTGTTATGATACCTGATGCTTAAAATTAACTACTTTTTATAACTTAAGACTTTAACAATTTTTATAGGTGTGACTGTGATACTTCTCGTCATTCTCGATGCCTCTGGATTACCTGGAGGCTTATATTTAAAAAGTTGGACAGCTGGATAGAAATAATTTGAACACACATTGGATGGAAATAAGGAAAGAAAGATGAGCATTTAAGCACCACTACATTGTACAATCTGTAAAAGGAAATTATTTTGTGAAAAAGCGAACTCTAGTCACTGACATTTTCCTAATACAACCGGAGCAACCAGAATCTTCAAAGGGGGCATCAAATGAACCTTTAGTAGAAAAGTAAGTATATTTAGATGAAAAAGGAGCACAAGGCATCTCTAAATATGCAAATCTGGAATATCCTCCGGGATATGGATCAGACAATGAAGTCCCATCCATTAGTGAGTGCAAAGACATGCGCTTATGTCTAGTATCCAAAGCAGTGTTGTCAATAGCGGCGCAATAGCGCGCTACAGCGGAATAGCGGTGCGGCAGACAGGGTAGGCGCTACATGGAGGGCTCTAGCGTGGCGTTTGGGTGTTGCGTCCATAGCGCCCGCTATAGCGCAGGTGCGGGAGAGAAAATAGCGGCCGCTAACGCGACGCGTTTTATGTTACAGAGTACTGCGCAGAATATGAGCCTTCTGGGAGGGATTTTAGCGTTAGATTTTTTAGCGCAGACATAGAAGGGTTAAATTAGACTTTTAAAACAATATTTTAACCTAATTAAAACCCATACACGTACGTTAAACGCTACTAAAAGCTCAAAACGAAGCCAGCTTTTGAATATAATAGTATCTTATATTTTACTCATGAAACTAAATAATATTTCTAAGTAATTTAAGTGGGTGAACCATCTAGTTTTAGTAGTTATAAAAGAAGAAGTTTAATATAATTAAGTATAATATTTCTAAGTAATATTACATATGCTTCTAGTAGTTACTTATCTATTATATTTGAAAGTACTCCAAATGGTTCTATAAAACTTAGAACCATCTACTTTCAGTAACAAATAACAAATAATGACATGTATAGAATGTAAACAATTCGATTTATATAGATGGAGTTTTATATAATTAAGTATAATATTTCTAAGTCATATTACATATGCTTCTAGTAGTTACTTATCTATTATATTTGAAAGTACTCCAAATAGCGGTCATCCCGCTATCCGCTATACCGCTATAGCGTTTTGGGGACTGCCCGCTCCGCTATCTGGGATTGACAACACTGATCCAAAGTGCAAAAAATTGTAGATGAGAAAGATGAAGCTTTAGTGGTTGATAGCAGAAAGAATCCAGTCCCGGATATCACCTTGTACTCTGTTTTTGTTATGTTATTTGCTATTTTCATTTAGCACAGATTAAAAAAGTAGAAATCTGTCCAGTGATGTATTCGGAAGCCATATTTTAAGTCTATCTAAACTAAAGCTTTATGGAAAATCTATGAACTATGAGCTATATGAACAAATACACATATGGTACACACATATATTAACCAAAATTCGGAAACTACTCTGGAAAAGAAAGAGAGGCAGTGAATGCTCTTGTTCAAGTGTATAACAGTTAGCACTCAACCCCCATGAAGTTTTTTATTAAGGGAAGTCCACATTCCAGATTTTGTATTAAATATTTAAATGAAGTTCACATTTTCAGGAATCATATAGTCTTCAAATCCAAAATTTGAAGAATATGCTTCTGATTCACATATGTAGGGAAAGGAAATGAGCTGAAACTAGGGCCCATGACAAACACACATCTCAATATAGCAATTCATAGAAACAGAACAAAATCACTCTTAATTCACAAAATAGTCAATTACACAATCATAACAATTTATAGCTTCAACCATAATTGCAATTTATAAGGTAATAAAAAACTAAAAGAGAAGGCATATCAGATGTCACACGAAAGCAGGTCACCAAGGGGAAACGGGTCGGAAGATTGTTTTTTTTTTAAAATTACTATATCTACGATTTCAACCTAGAGTGGCGATGATCGAATTAAGGGATTCATACCTACCGTTGATGGAGCAGGCCCGGAGAAGATGAAGACGAGACCCCTCTCGCCTAGATTGAGGAAGAGTTGTGTTCGCACTCAGAAATAATTAGATATGTCGAATCCTCTCTTCTCTGGCCTGTGCGATAGAGCGATGGGTTTGAGATTGATGGAAGGTGCGTAGGGTTAAGGGGATATGGGAAGAGAAGGCGGCAAAAATGGAGTGGAATTGGGTGTACATACGATAATAATTACATTAAAAGTTTTATTACTTGTACGGTGGGAATGTACAAAAGGCGGGACGATTTTTAGGAAAAAATTTCTGGATTGATTTTGGCGGGTTGATTGTTATTCGTGCACCGAAACTGGAGGAGGCTAAGTTTTAGAGATAAGTTTGATTAGTGGGAAAAATATATTAAGAGACGTTTGGTAAGACTGAAATTGGCTGAAATGATTGTTTCTACTGAAATTTATGAAGTTCTGGCTGAAGTGGTTGTATTGGCTGATTCTGCTTATTTATGAAAAAATAATATTTAAAATATTTGTTAATTATAAATAGAATTAAAAACTATATGAAAAAATAGCTAAAATGATCTTTTACAGTACTTCAACCAATACAACCAGAAAAGTAACTACAACCTTACCTTTGCTTATTATTACACAATTCAGCGCGCGAAATCAAAAGTTACGTGTTTGGTAAAAAAACTAACTGATAATTTTGATAAGCTGAAAAAAGATGTCACCAAATAGGCTCTAAGTGGATTAAAGACACTCAAATTTTGAAATCCGAATACTTGATAGGCAATAATGATTTAATTAATTGTCATTAATCGCATCTTGCAGAGGGAAAAAAATACATGCCCCAAAATGTGGCCTCTATGAATGACACACTTTTAGAATCAAATGTTTTAGAGGCGTCCATACTTTTGCAACGGGCTTTTAGAGGCAACCCTAAAAAGATTGATTCAAATAGTACCTTTTTGAGACAATTAATCTACGGTTACCTCAAATGTATTTAGAGCTTATAAATTTAGAGGCAACCCCGATTTATATGATGCTAAAAGGATCTTTTAGAGACAATTTGCCTCAAAGAGTTGCCTCTATAGCTGGTTTTTGTTGTAGTGATTGTCCATGTCTTTGTTTTATTTATAAATATGTCCTTTCATAATTAAATTGTATTTACAAGCAATTATTTTACATGAAAAGTTTTGATGTGGAAAGTGGAAACCTCTAATCCTACAGGTTCCTAGATTTAGAAATTTTAATATAGTACATAGGAGAAAGAATCTAACGTTTGACAAGAATGTAAGCCCTTATGAAAAATGCATGGTCTAGGCCTCTAGGATTTATATAAGGTGGGAGAACACAAAAAGAAAGAAAGAAAAACATTTGTACGGTCAAAGGTGAAGTTACTGAAGTGCATGACCAATTGACCATTGTAATGGGTTCTTGTAATGCAATTAAATATAAGTTAAATAGGAAATATTATGTTAACTCCTTTCAAAAAATGAAATATTATGTTAACATACACAATTATAGGTGGGGTCGCTTGATCTCAATTCTATCACAGTTCAAGATATCAAATAAATCTAAAGAATTCAAGATCCCAGCACTAAATCCCTTTTAATATGAGATCATGTCAAGCAACAACATAAATCCAAAACTGAAGTCTTAGAGCCCGTTTGGTAGCACGAAAATCGGCTGTTTTGGTTGATGTTGCTGAAATTTATGAAATCTGGCTGAAGTGGCTGCATAGGCTGATTCTGCTGATTTAAGAAAAATTATTTTTAAAATATATTTTATTAATAAAATAAAGAAAAAATTATATGTAAAAATAGCTAAAATGGTCATCTACAGTAACTTCAGCCAATACAGCCAGAAAAGTAACTCTAACCTTATTTTTTCTGCTTATTACACAATTTAGTGCGCGAAATTAAAAATTACGTGTTTGGTGAAAAATTCGGCTGACAAGCCTGATAAGCCGAAAAACGGTGTTGCCAAACGGCCTCTTAATAACCATTATATGATGATAATAAAAATAATGCACAAGATTTGACTTAGAGCCCGTTTGGAAACACTCAAATCACCTGAAATGGTTGATTAAGCTGAAATTTATGAAGTTTTGGTTGAAGTGCCTATATTGGCTGATTTTGCTGATTTACGAAAAAATAATATTTAAAATATATTTTATTAATCAAATAAAGAAAAAATTATATGAAAAAATAGCTAAAATGATCATCTACAGTAACTTCAATCAATACAGCTAGAAAAGTAACTTCAACCTTACTTGGGTTGAATGTTACACTATTCACATGGTGTACTTTGACTACGTTTTATTTATTAATGTAGTAATATATATTTTTGAAAAAATATTTTTAAATTTGTCTCATAGTAAATTTTCAAAATCTATTTTTTTTATTTTTTTTACTAATTGAGAATTATATATATTAATGGTCAAAGTTGTGTCTCGACAAGTGTGAAATGTTGACCGTTGCATTTATTTAAGAACGGAGGAAGTATAAGATTCAGCAAACTAAAGATAAAGTTGTCGTAGCCAATTTTTTTTTTTTTGGGATGAAATGTAAGTATATAAGTGATAATATTATGTTCTCTTCATTACTTTTTTGTTCCAATTCAACGCAAACACTATATAATTAGTGTAGGTTGTTCTTGGGAAATGAGATTGAATGATCACTTTACTTCTTAATAAGTTTCAATTTGGTCACATTATTTTAATTTGTTTTAATAAGTTTCAATTCTTATTGACATGTAATGGGGTGCAACTTCCTCCACAAGTTGGTTTGCTTCTAATGCAAGTTGTAGCTCTGATGTAAGAACACAGAGGAAGCAAGAATTAGAGCTAACTATAAAGGTATAGTTAAATGATCAAAATAAAACAAATTAAAATAATGTGACCAAAATGAATCTTATTAAGAAGTAAAGTGATCATTCAAGCTAATTTCCCAACAACAACCTACACTAATTATATAGTGTTTGCGTTGAATTGGAACAAAAAAGTAATGAAGAGAACATAATATTATCACATTATTGTCCCTTTATTAAGGTAATGAATGAGAAATTAAGGAGTCAAATTATTTGACTAAAATTGTCAAAAATATGATTGTAAACTAAATTTGTAATTCAATCGATAATTTGATTATAAATAATTCAAATGATCGGAGATAAAGAGTATGTGAAACTTGACAACCCTCGTGAAACTTTAGAGTTTGTTATTATCGTGTTTGGGGCTTTAAAGCACCAAACACATCTGATAATCTTCATAAATTTTTCATGTGATACTTTAATTTGATGTGCTTGAATTGGTGCTTTAATTTAACAAATCATTTAGTTGAGTTTTTTTCTTCATAAGCATCAATATTATTAATGTCTTGACTCTTGATCTAAACACGTAAATAATAGAATAACTTAATGACTAAAATATATGACACTCATTCTATAAAAATAGAATGCTATTTTTACAAAGTTTATCTTGAATAACAAAAGTTATTTGGTTTTGTAAATATCAAGCAATACAAAAAGAATATTGTACCATAAACACTAGTTTAATTTAAAAGATCTTAAATAAAGTGACACGAATTAAAAACGTGTAACACAAGAATTTGATTCTTCATTGTAATAACAGTCATGCATTATAGATAAATAAGTCAGTGTTCATTTTTAAAATATAATATAAGCTAGCAAGTGTGCACCGGTTAGATCAGATATCAAGCAAATTCATAACGTTTTAAGCAATTTTTTAATATTCAAATAAGGTTTGCTTCAATTAGGAATCAATTAGGCGTTTGATCTATCGATAAATTTCTTAAAGCATTTCTATTATAAAAATCTAAGTAATTCTCAGGTACTTTTAGTTATTCTGTGTACACTAATGTAATTAAGTAATTTTTTTTTTGAATAAAAAATATACAAAGTACTACGGACTTACGGAGTATATACTATACTAATTAACAGAAAAACTCCGATATCATTGCCATCAACCATAAATCCTAGATCCGTCCCTCACTTTATTTGACACTCAAATTCACATTGATTTAATGTTGCAATTTATTGCTAACTTATATATATACTACGTAATTCGTACTTCATACTCCATAGTTTTTACTATTTTGTCATGCCTTCGTAATTCGTGCATTGATCTCATGGAACACGTTTTTTTGCATGTATGCATGTGTTAAGATGTAATCACAATTTAAATAGTTAATTAAGATTCAAAACATATTAATCAAATCTAAAAACTTCACCTAACTTGACCACATCACACAATTGAACCATGATATATAATTAATACCGATATTCAAAAGCTAAACAAGACTATATAGGTATGTTTTAAGCACACCCTTTAGCCTCAAATAAAATAGAATCATAAAAAAAGAAGTAAACTAAACATTTATCTTAATAAATCGAGGAAGCAATTCAGCCCATCTAATTGCCGATTCATTCTCCTTTACGGGAGGTCTCGGGTTCGAAACTCAATGGAGTGAGTTTCAGCCCTGGTTACTACAGGCCCCTCAGCCACCCTCCTCCAGAGCCCCCATAGAGTAAAAAAAAAGATAAAAAAAGATAAAAAAATCTTAATAAATC